GTAGAGAAGCAACAAAAAGTTTGGGGGGGGGGTTTTGGGATATAAAGTATGCAGAACTATGTAGTACTAGTACAGAAAAGTTGAAACTAGTTGCAGTATTAGTATCTACTATATGAAATACAGAAATGAGACAGATGCAACTATTGCAGTACTAGAAAGCAGTTTTTTTTTTAGCAGTACTAGATGCAGTATTAGTATGAGTCTAGTAAAATACAGTTGCAAACAACATACAGAATGCAGTACAAGCTATTAGTATGCAGTACTAGATCGTACTGTATTATACAATTGCAAACTAGTTGCAACTAGGCATACTATATGGAAAAACTAGTATGCAGTCCAGTATCAAACTAAATGCATACAGTTGCATACTAAAAAGCAGTACTAGTTGCAGTCCCAATAGCATACTAAAGATACAGTGGCAGTACTATGTGCAGAACTTTGCAGTACTAGTTTTCAGAACTATATCAGTACTATAGCTATAATTCGTACTATATAAAAATACTATAGAGTACTATATGCATACTAGTATGAAATACTAGTTTCAAAAACTAGTATGCAACTATATGCATACTATTGGTACATATGCAATTTTTCAGTACTATGTGGCATACTAGTATGCATACTATTTGCATTACTATTTTCCAGTACTATTGGCAGTACATTGCATACTAGTATGCATACTAGTATGCGTACAAGTATAAAAACTAGTAGCTACTAGATCAAATATGCAAAAACTAGTATGCGTACTAAGCAGTACATTTCAGATAAAAGCAACTAGTATGCAGTATATATGAAATACTAGAAAGCAGATATTATGCAGTACAAGTGTGCAGTCTATTTGCAGTATTAGAAACAGTACTAGTATGCAGTATTAGTATGCAGACAGTAGCATACAATTTTCCCCCTATTTAAGCATATTATATGCTACATATGGTTTTAGTATAGATACTAGTATGCAAAAATAGAAAACTAAAAAGCAGACTATGGGCGTACTAATCATTTTATATCAAAAAAAAGTTGCAATTTACGGGCTATATGAAAAACTATATCAGTACAGTAGCAGTACTATTCATACTATACAGAAATAATCAGACTAGTATCAGTAAGATCATCTATATGCAATACTAGTATCATACTAGTATGCATTACTAGATGAAATATATATGCGTTAAAATGCATCCCAGAGCAATACTATTGCATACTTATGCAGTACAGTATGCGTACATAGCATAAAAAGCAGTACTATATGCATACAAGCATACTATTGCAGTACAAATTGCAGTACTAGTATCCGTATATATGCATACTATTATCAACAAGGGGCAGACTATGCATACAGTAATGCAGTACTAGATCAGTACAGTAGTATACTAGTCCCTACTAGTGTGCACACTAGGGGGCATACAGTTGCAGTACATATCAGTCTAGTACAGTACTAGTAGTATCTAGGTCAGTACAGTGTGCACATTTTGGGTGCAGTACTATATGCGACTTATCATACCAATGCAATACTAGTATGCAGACAAACAAACTAAAAGCTCTTATGCATATATATGATACTATGTGCATAAAAATGTGCACCTAGTGTGATATTTTTTTTATGGATTAAGAAATGCGAACTATATGCAACTAAAGTATGCCGGTACTAGTATGCAGTACTATATGCAATACATTGCATACAGTAAAGGCAGTACATTATGAAATACTATTAGCTTTCTAGTATGCAGTCTATTGCATACTAATGCGAAACATATAATGCATACTAGGTGCAGAAAGTGGGCGACTATAACATACAGTAGCAGTACAGTATGCAGTACTACTGTGCAGACTAGTGGCAGTACTAGTATGCAGTACTAGTATGCAGTACTAGTATGCAGTACTAGTATGCAAAACTAGTAGCAGTACTAGAAATGCAGTACTATATGCAGTACTAGAATGGCAAAACTAGTATGCAGTACTAGTAGGGCAATACAGTTTTCAGTACTAGTATGCAACAAGTGTGCATACAGTATGC